TCACCGCACAGAATCACCCATATCTATATTTCACCCACACACAAAACTACTGGCATAAAATCGCATAAACACGGCTCATAGAGGACCTCTTTCTCTCTCTCTATAGATACTAAATAATATCCTAGCTTAAGCCTAGCTTAGCTTAAACATACGAATACCACCTTCCTCATATTCGATATCAACAAACATATCTTTGACAACCCAAGGGGAAAACTTTAATGTCTGGGCTATAGCTTTTGTATTTGTTTAAGTAATAAAATGAAAAAAAAAAGTATTTACAACAATGTGCCAGTGAATAAACAAAAAAAAAAAGTGACAACGAATTAAGCAAGCAACGTTTAGACCTCAGTTCAGTTAAGTTCAATTTTATCCTGTCAACACGAATCGCAAACCATTTGTCAAGATCCCAGCAGCAACAACCACACCAGCAAAAAAAAAGCAAGCAACACAACAACAATCAAAAACAACTACAACAACAACTATTACAACAACAACAACAAAAACACATCAACTGCGTCTTTACTAAAACCAAAATCTGAACAATTAACCCAACAAGATCTATATTTCATATTTGCTAAAACTACTAAAAATCAACTTTAAAAACCTACACTTGTAAAATATGTCAACGAAAACCACTCAAAAAATAAAGAAAGAGAAAAAGCCAAGACAACATACAATAAACATTGTGTATTATAAGACAAAGAAAATCACCACAGCTACAACAACCACCAATACTACAATTACAACAACAGCCACATCCAGCAACAATACGGGGTATTACAACGAATGAGTCTTGATTGAAGTCTTCTCGCAGAACTCTCAAAATGCAAGAACAAACAAAAAACAACCGTATAGATATATATATTTATATATCATAAATCAACAAAACGCAAACATAAATTAACAAATAAACAACAATTTCCACGAAGCTTCTCTCTTGCACTATCTCTATCGAAGATAAAATAATAATAATATATCGAGCAAAAGAATAAAGGAAAACTTGGCTGGAGGAGTCTATAACTAACTCACCACTAATTTTTGTAATTAATTTGTTCTTGTACCCTCTTGATTTTTGTCTATGTGCTCCATTATGTTCACCATTATTTTAATAATTTACCTTTTTGTTTTATAACAGTTTTCGTTTTCGATTAACAAATAACAACAACCAGAACATCAACAACAACAACAGCCAATAAACAAGCACACGGAAAAAGCTTAGAAACGTATGAGTAGCATTATACCTCTAGCATCCACTGCGTCGGTCCCAAAAAAAACTACTAGAAAAACTACTCGTAAAACTACTACTACCCCTGCCCACCGCCACCCACCTGCCTGCCTTGCCTGCAAAAAAAGCTATATCCAAAACTAATCGCCCGCCTACTACTACAACTACTATTACTACTACTACTAACTAAAATAAATGAATATACGTACGTATGTCCCGGGCAAACAGCAGAAATCTATATCAAATCTATCGAAAGAGAATCGAGCGCAAGCGCCACTCCCGATAATAATCGATAACAAGTACTCATGTATTGCAAACCCTACTAACCCAATTTTTGTTGTGTATGTGTGCGTCTCTGTGTGCGTAAATAAGTGCCAGATCAGAGATCAATGAATCTCGAAATAGATATCTAAATATATATATTCTCCCCAAGTAAAGACAACCAGTATTCCAACCAGAACATCTACAGAATAAAACAACCAACTGATACTACTACCTACTACTACTACTATATAACTACAAGAACAACAGCTACAACAACAACAGAATGCAACCAAAAAATATATAAAAAATCTAAATCAAATCTAAAAGTTTTAGCAAGAATGTGCACCAAATTCTTTTGCAAATACCATTCAATTTTATGCAATCTATACAACCAAATCAAGTAAAGAAAAATATATATAATATAAAATAGAGACCAGACCAGAACCACGAAAATGCTAAAATATATAGATATATATATATATATTTATTATTATATATATGTATGTATATGTATTTAAGAAATAACTCTTTGGGCAGGACCAAGCATCACAACAAAAAAAACGAAAACAACTCGCAGAAACAAACTAAAAATTTTGCAAGAATTCTCACTGTCTCTCTCTCACTATCAAAAATCAAAAAAAAAAAAAAAATCAAAATAAATCACAAACCAACACTATCTACTATCTATCTCTATCTCGCTTGTGTTTGTCTGTGTGCAGGAGAGATGCAAATGCAAGGCACTGTTGTTGTTGCACTTGATGATGCAGCCGAGGAGCGAGCGGAAAAGTGGGAAAATGCGGCGGAAAATCAAGCAAGGATACAGCGGCGGCAGTGGCAAATGGAAAAGGATCAACGCAGCGCCGCAACGATAATGGAGCGCAGATGCTCCCAAGCTCCGATAATACCAGCACTAATACTACTACTAATGCTACTAGTACAACTGCCATTACAACCCCAGCGATTAGTAGTCGTTATAAAGCGAAGTCGTATTTGAACAGATCCTTGAACTATATACAATATATAACATTTGAGTGCCGCTGACTGACGGCCCAAGTTGCAAAAGTTTTTGAATTTTAATTGCATAAAACTGAAGAGCAAAATCAGAATCAGAATCCAAGATCAATCGAGAATATCATCGGAATTAATAAGATATATATATATATCATATATCTTGATGTTGCCAATTGTGGTTGTTGCTGTGCCTAAGTGTGTTTGACCGAAGACAAATCCGACGATATGTAATTCGATAAAACCCCAAACTGCCTAATGGATATCATGTATAAAATGCATACATATAATTTTGTTATATTTATCATATATATACCATGAACCACGGCTTTCAATTCCAACTTGAAGTTTATTTAATTTACAATTTTGTTGACCGAAACATAAACAAAAGATAAAATAATATAAAAATTCCAATTAAATAAAACTAAAAAAAAACGACCAAGTAAACATTTTTCCATTGGGATCTGTTCAAAGTTATGTCAGCCATAATAGCCTATACCATATAATATAAAATATATGCTCGTATTATTATCGCTACTGATTTCGGGGTCTGTAGAGAGGAGTTGTATTTGTACGCTGTTGGTATTAGTCTCTTGCTATTGGTATCGTTATCGTTATCGGTATCGATATCGATACCAATGCATATCATGTAATGTGTAGGCACACAGAAAACCCCCTCTGGTTCTGTTCCTTGTGCCTCAGAGGTGGTGTGGCGAGATGAGAGGCGTCGACTACACACACAGCGACTGTGCCGGAGGTGAGTCAGTTGAAGCACTCCTAATCTAACTCTATGTCTAACTACCAAACCATTTCATAGCTTGTAAGTGCAATTAGAAATAATTACAACAAATTCAGTGTAAAATGTCCGAAAGCCAAGCACCAAAAATTAAGAAACTCTCTCTGTCGCAATTTGAAATACCAAGACCCAGAACTTGATTCATGACTGCCTCTCCTTCCACCCATTGTATTTTATATATTTTTAACAATTTTAGCTTAGCTAAGTTTTCATTAATTAAGATCAAGATCCTTTTGTGGCTTAGATAGATGGGTTTTTCTTGTTTTTGGGCATACAAATCACAGTGGTTGAGAACATTATTCTTTCGATTAATAACAACAACATCATCCACTTGATTTTGATTTAACATTGCCCATAAAATAAACTTTTACGCTCTGTGGCAATTGATGTAAATCATTAGTCCATTTAACCATAAAAAGTCAATAAAACAAACGCAAAATGCTGTACATAAAAATTAATTGCATTGCTGCGCGCTGCCCCCAAAAAAATATATAGCCAGCGTTGAGAACAAATAAATTAAACAGGTTCTGATACAAACAACAACTCATTGGGCCATTCCATTTGAGGTGTATATGCAATTATTGGGGTCGCTGCGGCTGCTGCTGCTGCTAGTGCTTTTTGGTCAAAACAGGCACTAGAAGTTGGCCCTGAAACTTGGCCAGATCGTGTGAACCAGCACAGCAGCAGGCCAATGAAAATTCGCAATAAACACTTTGTTTTGTTCTGGTGAATTTTTGGCTAGATGTCGTTCCTTCATTCTCTTAAAACCCCTTGATTATCATGCGTAGGGGTGAAGCTCTTGATTTATGGGTTCTGTCGCCTTTTATCTCGTGACGTATCGTGATGTATAGTGACGTATGACTGGCTCATCGATGTTGCATTTCATTTCGTTAAACCGAGTGTGTGTGTATGGTTGTCATAAATTAATCCACTTTAAATGTATTATATAAGCTTGTTCGCTTTTAGTGTGTTTTTTTTCGTGATATCTTGTTTGACTCTGACCTGCCCCAATACCCGTTGGTTGGCCTTTATTTTTTTGCGTTCGAATATATATATTATATATAAAAAGAATACTGATTCATTGACATGCAGGCTCAGCGAACACCTATAAACATTAGCCTGGCATTTATTTATGAACAATTCGAGCAGTGAAAAAGTCTAGAAATATAGAAATGGGAGAAGCTCACTTGTGGCTCCCATATGGTCTAGTGGCTAGGATATCTGGCTTTCACCCAGAAGGCCCGGGTTCGATTCCCGGTATGGGAAAACTTTTTTCCAACCACCTTTTTTTTCCCCTCTTCGATTTTTGTTTCGTGTATCTTCTGCTTTTCCTATTCTGTGTTCGAGGTTAACCGGAAATCAAACACACACACACACACAAGAACACCAAACATTATGAGTGTGTGTTTCCTAGTTAGCTTTTAGTGGAAACCAAAAGAAAATTGGCATAAAAGAAAATGAAGAGGCAACGCCATAGATACACACACCACAACAACAACAACAACCAGAAACAAGAACAAATGCCTAAACAACCAACCAACCAATCAACAATCAACAACATCAAGAACAACAACAACAACAACTCAACAAGAAACCAAGCAACCAACCAACCAAAAAGATACAACAATCCAAAACAGAAATTCAACAAATTTGTGGATACATTTATCACGCGCAAACTGTTTGCCATTTGCTCTTATCTCATTTCAGTTAAGGAGATTGGAAATGGCCGCTCGCCATTACTGCAGGAGCCACTATACGGTACACGACCTCAGCCCTACAGTGAGTAGAAGGCGCCTATTCATTTGTAGTTTGTTTAGCTGACAAATGTTGTGTCCTCCTCCCCTTCCCCATGAAAAACATTCCTCCTAAACCCCAAAAACCATCATCTACCTTCTACCTTCTCATTAATTTTCGTTAAAAAAAAAGAAGAAAAACAAGAAAAGAAAAACCCAAACTATGTTGGTTCCTGCGATTGTTGATTGTTTGGTTGTTGTTGTGTTGAAATATTTGCATTATTTATTTGTTTTTCGTTTATGTTGTTGGAGCGTAAGTCGGTGGGTCCTCAAGTAGCATCTCAGTTTCTTTGCTCAATTTTTCTTGATTTCCAGCAAAGTAGGAAGTGAGAAAAATCCAATTAACAGAAAGATACTCAGACACATAGCCACCCCACCCCAAACAACAGCAACAACAACATCCCCAGGTGTTGTTGCTGGGGAAAAGTTTTTCTAATTGCTGGCACTTAAGCTGGTCCCGCACCGAATGCAATCATTACAAATTTTCCAGAGCCAAGACTTTGCTTCCTCTTGTTGACATATGCCGGCATGTGCAATTAAATGAAAATCAAGCGACCAAGTGCAAGTTGCTGCAGTCCTTCCTCCTAATTAACTCGGGGTTATGAGGAGAGAACGTCTTATGGCACAAACACACTCTCTCTCGACCCAATTTTCCCACAGCCTGAGCCCAAGGATTCTATTAAGACAAATGGGCAAGGAAAACTTTAGAGAATACGAAAATAATCGAATGCTAGTCTTGTTTGGGCCCTAAAACGTGACTCGATGGGTTTCCCAGGGAAAGTCGAGTCAAGTCAAGTCACCCAAAAAGCGGGCAGAGAGGAAAACTGTGTCACACAAGGGAAACACGGGTGGCATACAGAGCTCTGGCTCAATATTATTGTAGGAACATGTGTCTTCATTTCGCTGTCGACTTTGTGGCCTGCCAAGACCATCAACACTTCCTGCATGCCACTCCACTTTCCCCTAAATCGATTTGGCTTACAGAGGGAGCACTCTCTCTGTTCGGTTCGATCTGCTTGTGTGCGTGTGAAGTGCAAAATTAATTGATTTTTTATAGCATTTCGATTCTGGCATTTCTATTTCAATTGCGAGTATCGAAGTGTGAAAAATTCGACCGAAAGCCAAAGTGAAATTCTCGCTTCGATTGGGTTTATTTTCGCTTCGCAAAATAATGATAAATGTGGTAGATCAAGGGGTGAGGTTTTGGGATGCCAAACTAATCCCTTAATTAAGGCGCTTCAGCTTGAATAGCATTCAGCGTTCGGCTTAATTTGAACGGAATGGAATATACTTTTGTTGCTTATCGATCGTTCTCGTTCGTTTGGAAAACTTTTCCCAGCTAGGCTGGCTAAAAGGAAGGACGACGCCTCGAGGCCGCACCTAGTTACAACTTTTGCATTATCTAAAAGCCGCAAACTATAAACTAAAAACCTCGACTCGACTTCGCTCGGGCCTCCTTCCTTTTGCTGGTTATCAAAACTTGTGTAACCTGGCCTGCGGCTGGTTTATAATTTTTGCCAGACAAAAATCTACACAGCCGCCTTGATGTTCTAATTTGTTGTGCGTAAATAACATTTCGAATTGGCTTGCTTTTAAGCCGAAAGTTTTTGCCGAAAACCAAACAACAAACAATTGCTTAGCAGCTACTACTACTCGGAACTTGGCCCGGCCAAGATGCTGCGTTGCCCTGCCAAGGGTTTTCCCTTATAGGATGTGAAATGTGGAAATGGTATCTCCTGTGTCTGGGGACAAAACTGATGCAGAAGATTAAGTAAAAATCCGTCTCTAACTGATGCTTGGCTGCTGCTTTTAATTGCATTTTACGCAAAAGTTGAAGTTCTCGTCGTCGTTGCCTAGGTTTCAATTAGAGGCTTGGGGGTTGCTCGCTTAGTATCTCTAAGTGCTTATGCCCAACCAACCGACCAACCCAAAGCAACCAACCCCTATGCGAGGGAAGTTTCTTTATGCCAAATACTGCGGGGAGTTGGTACAAAACTTTTGGCCATCACCACCGGCTCCTTTGTTGTATTCCAGGGAGTTATATCCTTGATTTTCGATAGTAAGTGCCCTGGACTTTTTCCTTTCCCCACCCTTACGATATATATGTATATATACATATATAAAAAAAGGAATACAGCAACTGGGGAAAAACTTTGGCAAGCAAATTTTCTTATCCATGCTATTTGTTTGATAATTGGCCATGGCCACGGCATTTGGCATTGTGTACTTGGGATAAAGTTTTAGTTTAGTTTTTGCTTCCAGCTAAAAAGTCGAAATTCAATTGATTCGAAAAGGGCGAGAGAGAGAGTGGGAGAGAAAGTTCAAAGTGTAATGGATTCATTCGGAGTTTGGTTGTTGTGTGTTTTCTGTTTATTTTATAAATTTTTCTTTATTTTTTTGCACCCCAAAATTTCTTTACGGTCTCGGTTGGGGTTGCATGTTTACTCTCGTGGTTTTTTGGCATGCCTGGGGCCAAATGTATGTGGTTAAGAGCCGAGCTAAATATGTTTCGTGTTGGCAAATATTTTTCCATGATTGGACCATTTGTTGTGACTTGTTCTATCTGTTGATTCGTTCTTTGTCGAGTTAATTTGCCAGGCAAATGGAATTGAGTTGTCCGTTTATTTATCTGTTGAAAGTTCTCTGCACAAATGTTTATATGCGATATAACTCTATACATCCAACTTGCACCTCGTCATTTCCGCGCTAAATGAGTTTATGCATAGTTGATCACTTCTCTGTCTTTCCTTCCCCCCCCCCCCCCCTGTCAATTTCCCCCTGGATTATGCATACGTGTATATGTCTGAGCCGAGTCGCTTTTCCGGCATTTCTCCTCCCTGGCCTAATCAGAAAATAACAGAACAGAACAGCACAGAGCAGCACAGAGGAGAGCTGAGCTCTGGTCTCAGTTGCACTTATGACAACGGACGGGGCAAGAAGAATTCCGGCATTCAAAGGAGGATGAAGGATAAATTCTTTGGGGGCTTTCCGGAGCTTCCTTTGGCTGCCTAATAAGCGTCCTCGGGGAAATTATGATGAGCAGAATTCAATTTCGTGTTTAATTTGCAGTGAATCCGTTTCTTTCACTTGCTCTCGGACTCGGGACTCGAACTCGGACTCACTCACTTTGAGTGGTGATTTAGCAGACAACGGGCAGAGTATAATAAAATATATATATATATATAAACACAACGGCTATGGAAAATAAAGGAGGCCATCTTTTGGGTCAAAACTTTGTTTGTTTTCGGCTTTGTTTAGGCCGGGGCCAAGTTTTTTATATATATTCTTTCTTCCTTGAACAATTTTCGTCAAGTTACTGGTTGCCGTTCCGTTGTTAATATGCAAATTTTTGTTGCCACCGCCTTTGTTTTGGACCTGCCCCTTATTTCATACAAATAAATTTCTATGTATTATCTTCCTTGGTTGCATTCGCAGCCTTTTCTCCTCGTTTTTAACCACAATGAGAGCGCTTTTCATTATTTGCTGTGTGAGCGCCAGCAAACATTTTCCCCGAACCGTTTTCCCTTTTTCTTTTCATTATTTTATTTATATTTTATGCTGCCACTGTTGGTGGTGCTTCTGCTGCTTCTGTTGTTGTTTCGGCTGCATAAATAAGTATTTTTAATTTTACCACAAAGTTTTTTTCGGGTTCTTCATTTTGTGAAAAGCAACTGAAATGCTAAAGTGATTTTTATTAAAAAGTTTACTTTTTAATCTGATGTGCCCGCCCCGCCGGGGTCTTCCTTCTATTTATTTAATTTTTCCTCAGCTCTCTTTGTTTGCATAATTTTTTTCTGCGGTTAGCATATGGCAGCGAGGTTAATTAAAATTACAATTTCAGTTGTATTTTTTTTCGTTTCGGTTTGAAGTTAAAGCTCATTGCGGAAGCCAAGCAGCTGACTGTCTGAGGATGCATTAACTGTAAAGTTGCCAAAAGTCGTTACGTTAATTAGATGTAGCTGCCTCCCTTGCAAATAAGTATGCTAAGCAAGAGAAATGATCCTGGGACTGCAATTTCAATTGCAATTCATTATGATTAACATATTTATGGGCTCAGCAGGGGGGAGCGCCCGCCTTTGGGGACGTGAATCACGAATCACTCGGCAATCGTTGACACCTCTAAGCCAAGTCCCACAAGCGAGCGAGTCCTTTGGGTTGGTCTTCCTGAATGAAATGCCAACGTTAAAGCCCTCGTTCCCCAAGGAGCAAGGATCGAGCAGGCAGAAGCGGGGCAGGACCCTCGACTGGGCCGCAAATCCATCCGACGGCAACAACGAACGCGTGCCGCGTGCAAAAACAAAATGGCCAACATCCCGACCGGAAGTTGTGCGTTGCCGCGAGCGGTTGGCTGGAACAACTGTAAATGGGAGCGCGTGACTACAGCAGCTTGGTCTGCCATTTGTGCGGCTCTTTTACCGCTGTTTCCGGTTGCGCTCCAGGAAGTGTTTTTAATTTTAATGCAAGCACTGTTCTCTGACTACTTTTAGTGGAAATAGTCTTAAAGGAACGGGGGGAAAAAATAGGTAGAATTTTACACGAATTTAAACTGAGAGGAAATATTTCTTGGAAATGAATATGAAGTGCACTTAATGCATCACACATTTTATGAAATATTAAAGATTTAATTAAAAATGTATCTCAAAAATGGGCTTCGAAGTAAAAACTAGTTTCTTATTTGAATTCCAATGCTCTTCTGACTTTATTAAGAGGATAATCAATCAGGGAAAGTAAAGAATTAAAACAAAAACAAGAAAATAAAGAAACTTTGAGAAGCCGAAGTTTATTTAACTTTGCAGTTAGCAGTTCAATAATGAATCGAAGCGGAAATTGATTGTAAATAGGCTCAAAATGTTCGCATTATTTGAGTCAATATTTCTATATTTTTATATGACTAATCAAAGATTGTACAAAATCCAATTCTTCATTTTGAATCTTTGTATTATGATATTAATCTGGATTTTAGCTACAATTATCTATTTTCTCAGT